AAAATGCCAAGTATTAAAATTTTACCAGAAATCAAGTATAGGTCAGTGCTTGTTACAGTTCATTATACTCTCTTATGTTTTCATTTAATATAAAATGTTTTCTGTGCATAGGTAATGAAACAGATATAGCTTTTATACAAGTTGATATTTGGAGAACAATGTATATAGTGTTTATTGCATATTAGGCAGTTTCTCTGGTTCTTTGTTTCTGTAAATGATTATTTCTATGTTGTGGCCCTCTGTAATCATTCGTGTAAATAGTCCCTTCTTTTTAAAAAGCAGCATGTTTCTTTAGAATAAATGCACTGCTCTTAAAAAACAAAACAAAAAAACCACAACTAATTCTAAGACTATAATATAACAATGGCCTATAGATTGGAAACATTTAATTCATTCGCATCTCCTTGTTTAAAGGAGATGTCAATGATCACTGTAACTGTAGGTCCATTGTATTAATTTCCCGTGAAAACAAAATGATGTTTAGGTTTTTGCAGCAAATACCACATATGGAGTGAGAAGTGCCTGATGTTTAAGCTGGATTAAAAAAAGAATAGGTGTTAAATATCACATTGGAATATTTGCTGGCTACTTGTGCGTGCCAAAGAATTTTAGAAGAAAATCAGCCTATGCTTTGTCTGTGTGGATCATACAAAGTTATGATTTTTTTCCCTAAAATATGCCCAATGTATAACCTCTACTTTGGACAAGAAGCTACTGTTAGGACAGGCTATGGGGAAAAAAGTATGGTTTCCCATTAGCAAAGTTGTGAAACAGGGAAGGAAGGAAGACACAGCCTTGTGTCTGCAGGAACTATGCAGAGCTATTGATAATAGGACTTTCTGGAGGTCACTGATTCATGGAGTCCCCATTAGTTGTACTTGGCAGTGCATAATAACAATGTGTGTGTGTGTGTGTGTGTGTTGCAAATACAAACTTCATCAAAAGTACAGTGGTGCCTCGCTTAACAAGCGCCCCGTTTAACGACGAAACCGCTTAGCGATGAAGATTTTACGATTGAAAAAGCAATCACGTTGCAATGTTTTAAATAGGGAAAATCGCTTTGCGATGATCGGTAAGCTGTTTTGCTTGCCGATTATTGCATAGCGATCTTTTTCCTACAGCTGATCAGCGGTTCCAAAATGGCCGTTGGAAAAAAACATGGCCGCCCGCTGTGTTTAGGGACGGATTCCTCGCATACCGGGCAGCGAAAATGGCCACCGTATGGAGGATTTTCGTTTAAAGGTAAGTTTTAAGCCCATAGGAAAACATTGAAGGGGTTTCAGTGCATTCCTATGGGCTTTTTAAAATAGCTTAGCGATGTTTTCGGTTAGCAGCAATTTTTGCTGCACCGATTAACATCGCTAAGTGAGGCACCACTGTATATGCAACTGAATGTCACTGTGTTGAAGAGGGATAAAGAAATGTGAGGCCAATGCAGTCACTGAGACATAACAAGAAAGAAAGAAAGAAAGAAAGAAAGAAAGAAAGAAAGAAAGAAAGAAAGAAAGAAAGAAAGAAAGAAAGAAAGAAAGGTTAACACAAGGTGACATTTTCGAGGTACTGTACAGGTCAGGTTGACAGTTTTATAACTCAAAAGATCATGAAGTTCTTCATTCTTCTCTAACATCCTCAGGGAAAGACTGTATTTACGATAATTAAAATCCATACATTTAATGGTCTGTACATTATGTGAAGCTGTGGATGACTGAATCTAAAAATGTGTAATAACGTTAAGAAAATTCAGTATGTTATATAATCTTTAACTGGTACTGATGTCGTTTTTGTGGGTCCTGAAGCTTTTCAGTTTTTGCTAGCTTTTTAAATACGCAACAGTAGGCTTATTGGTCATTGTAGGGGAGAAGAGGGTGTCTTAAAACTCTAGCCTCCTTCTCAGGAAGGATATGGCATTCAGGTGTCATAAAGATGGAATCTATTTAAAGGAAGTTAATGACGCTGCTTAGAATTTAGACAGAGAGTGGGAGTGTGAATCATTGCCAGAAGAATTGCTAATCACTGTTATTTAAAGGATGGTGTACCTTGAACTTCATTAAACAGAATGTGTTGGCAATGTTTGGAACCATTATACCTGACAAGCATGGGTGGATGTCTCTCTTATTCCCCTGCCCTGAGATTGCCATCCTTTTCAGAAAGCCAAGGTGCTTGTATGTCGAGAAAGCATGTATTTGGGTTTCTCCAGGCTTCCTGGCCGCACACATCTGGGTTAGAGGCAGGAAAGGGAGGGACATTGGTAGGTGACAGATGAATTAAGGTGAAGCAGAGCAGGGGAACAAGAGTCCATTGGATCCCAGTTTGCATTGGGATCCATGGGAAGGCAAAATGCTTTCAGGGAATATGCATGGCCAGTAGTAGTAAGGTAATGGTTAAAGGTAAAGATTCCCCTTAACAATTTCTCAAGTCGTGTCCGACTCTAGGGCGCGGTGCTCATCCCCGTTTCTAAGCTGTAGAGCCAATGTTTGTCCGTAGACAATCTTCTGTGGTCACGTGGCAAGCACGACTAGACACGGAATGCCGTGACTTTCCCACTGAGGTGGTACCTATTCATCTACTCTCATTTTTACATGCTTTTGAATGGCTAGGTTGGCAGGAGCTGGGACAAGCGACGGGAGCTCCCTCTGCCACATGGATTTGATCTTACAATGGCTGATCTTCTGACCTTGCAGCACAGAGGCTTCGGCGGTTTAACCCGGAGCGCCACCACGTCCCTCCAGTAGTGGTAGCTCATATAAAATATGCCATTATCCTTACTGCATAGCTAACAAGAGGGTGGTGCATTTGTCAACCAGCATGTCTATCTTAAGAAGGCTTATGATGATATTTCTGTGCATTAAGACTGGCAGATACAGAAGTTCACCTCATACTTGATGATGTGGAGTAAACAAAATAGCAAGTAAGAGAGGAACTGGGAACACCCTTCATCAACTCCTGTATCCAATCCCAAATTCACGAGGTTCTCCTTGGCCCATCTGTGTCTTGGCACTCTTGGGCTTTGGCTTGCACAAATCTGTCAGATATAAGCTCTGTGCTTTGGATATTACTGAGAACCTTGCAGTAGGAGCCTCTGTATTTCTATTCAGAATTAAGTCCCACCAACGTTCTTTCTAATTTTCAACCTCGCTGGGCGGGGCTCCATGCCTCATGAGCATGACTCCCCCCCCCCCAATGCGGGGGTTCTGCCACAACTGGAACCAGAGTGGCTGGAAACACTCACTGTAGGTGCATGGAGGAGGAGGAGGAAGAGGAGGAATGCAGTGTGGAGGGGCGAAGCGCTGCATGCAGCTTAGAGGGAGCCTTGAGCCCTGCTGAGTTCAGTGAGACTTACTCCCGGGCAGGTAAGAAGGCAGCTGTAGAATCTAGTGGACAGAGAATGACTGTTGGAGCTGTAACTCTTTCCCCTCAACCTGTCAGGAAATTATGGGTGGTTTTTGGCAAGAGATTATCTATCATATATATTAATATGTATTCTGAAGAGTCCTATACGTTGAGTGGGATGTGCGTGTTACATTGCCTTACAAATGATTGCAAAGGGCAGCACAATAAAATGCTCTAGACAAAGTAAAACTGAAGTATGGATGAATTATTTTCCTATTAACATGAATTAATTCCTTTTAAGAATTCATTTTAGTTTAGATTAAGTGTTCAGTTGCCATGTATGTGTGCACGTGTTCTAATCTTTTGGGCTTATTTCTTTGTTTTCCCCTAGAAGAAAAAAAAAAGTTCTGTCCAGGCTCTTTTGCAAGCAAGCTCTGCAACCTTAGATATATTCTAACTTCGTGAAAAGTCAGCTTACTAAAAGAAGATATAGAATGAGGACTGAGGGCAGCATATTTCTCTTTCAGCAGAAACGTCCTGTGTATATGATTAACCTTGACCTATTTTTTTCCTCCTTAAGCACGGACATTTGTGTCTGTCTTTCTCCAGCGGAAGAATTGCTGAGCTGTGGAGTCTGCACCTTTCACTAACTCTTTTTACTTCCGATTATCAAAATAGTCCTGCAGTACTTGGTGTTCTGCCTGCCTTTTATACCAAATCCATTACACCTAGTTTTTACAGTCATTTTTGTCTCCTCCTTGAATGCCACTTGTTTTGAATGCAATATTCGTTAGTTTACCTGTGGAACTCATCTGGGTGCTGAATTCAAAATAAAGTACCCTTGTTACTACATTAAAAATGGGCATGCTGCACAAATTCCAGCTAGGATGTGTACATCATAGAGCTGCTTCTCCACATGAAAGCAGAGGAGTTCATCCATTTTGTGGGCCTGCTTGGATCTAGCTTGACAAGCCTATGAGGTAATTAATTTGAATGAATGACTGATCTAGGGTTCGCTCAATGTGCTGCCTTGCTGAACTGGAGATTCCACTGTCACCTTTACACAATTGGTCGTTCACCCTCTTAGACAAATAGGTGGTTATAATTCATCAGCATAGTTCTAAAACCAAAGTTCTAAAATTCGAGTGAAATAACAGTTCGACATTTTCTGGATTGATTTCACTTATACTCAAGCACAAATCATGATAAGAATGATTAAACTTAATGGTGGATTATCAAGGGGGAAGAAGACCCTCTTGGTTGTAGTTCTGAATTCCAAATGCTATCTAAAGGGCTATTTGTATCTGCATATGCACAGTATTTTAGTTAAGTACAGATTTCACATGTATGAAATCTACAGGAATATGATTGCTCTGTAGACAGCAATAACTTTCCTACGAAGTAGCTGCATGGTTTGAAAAAATAATGCCATGTACAAGTACAATCCTGTTCTACAAATTTGGAACACTGTTTCAAAGTCTCCTATTAATTTCACTAGAAGGTACAATGATTACTAATTAAAACACAGCGTTACTAGGTCCTGCTGGGATTTGTAGTGGAAGGGTATTTACGGGATGTTTGAAGCAGAATCAATGGCTGAATGTCTTTTGTCTGTGACTTTTAAAATCATATTTTTTTTAAAAAAATGCTTGTTTTTAATTGCTCTTCAGGTGAGACGATGAGAATTGCTTCGTCAGAATTTGCCGATGACCCCTGTTCTTCTGTCAAACGTGGCACTATGGTTCGGGCGGCCCGAGCACTGTTATCAGCCGTCACTCGCCTGCTCATCCTGGCTGACATGGCAGATGTCATGAGGCTTTTGTCTCACCTGAAAATTGTAAGGCTTCTTAACATTAGTTACAGTTGTCGTGGTGAAAATGTCATATCATATACCTGTTGCTTAAATAAAACATCTACAAAGGGTATGGTTCTTAACAACTGCAGTTCCCTGGTCTTGTAGAGGTTACGTGAATATACTATTTGCAAAGGAAGACTAGAAGAAGTGTCGGGCACTGCTGGCTTTGTTGTAGATGAATATAATAATTATTGTATGGGATGTGGTGGCTCTGTGGGTTAAACCGCAGAAGCCTTTGTGTTGCAAGGTCTGAAGACCAGCCGTCATAAGATCGAATCCATGCGATGGAGGTGAGTGCCCGTCGCTTGTTCCAGCTCCCGCCAACTGAGCAGTTCGAAAGCATGTAAAAATGCGAGTCGATAAATAGGGACCACCTTGGTGGGATGGTCATGGCATTCTGTGTCAAGCTGCGCTGGCCACATGACCACGGAATATTGTCTTCAGACAAACACTAGCTCTGTGGGTTGGAAATGGAGATGAGCACCGCTCCCTAGAGTCGGACACAACTGGACAAATTGTCAAGGGGAACCTTTACCTTTGTCATGAGTGCAGCTGAAGATCTGGAACCTGAAGGGTTAACTATAGCTGAGAAGAATGCTGAGAGTTTAGAAATACAAACACCTGAATTGCCTTCAGATTCTCCTCCCCCTTTAGAAAGGCTGAGGGCCGGACTTCGGGGAAGACTTATGACAAAAAGTTCAAAGGATCGCTTGAAGGCTGCCCTCAGAAACATCCGATCAACTAGCCCTGAGTTCTGACAGGATGAAAAGGCTTCCAGCAGTTCAAGGGCTGTTTTTTCTATATAAACAGCTCTCAGATGGCTGAAAGTCTGTGGATGCAATAAGTCAAACTTCTGGCTTGCATCCACGCTCCTGACAACCTTGAACCTTGTTCTCTGGACCCTTGGCTTTAAACTCTGACCCTGGACTACATTGTGTGAGTTGGCTTTGGTATTTGGATATCGGCTCTGCATTCCCTGAAGAAGACAGGAGGGCCTGGCATTTGCTCTGGTCCATGGGATCACAAAGAGTCGGACAAGACTTAACGACTAAACAACAGCAGCAGCAATTAAGTAAATTCTAACTTTCAGTGATTCTTTTCAGGACCTTAAGAGGCGGTTTACCCTTCTTTCCTTCTGGAGCTGCCCGGGATCTGTGTAGCTTGCCGAAGGCTGGCTCTCTTGGGATGCAGAGTGGGGAACTGAACTTCCAACCCCCAGTGGCTGTGCAGCCAAATACCTAACTCATACAGGCTAACTTTAAACAACTGATACAATTTTTGAAAATAAAGTATTAAATTGTCTCCCAGGACAGCAGTTCTCAACTTTTGACATCTTAAATTACATTTATCTCTTTCTGTGAAAAAAAAAACCCTGAGTTCTTCCCTAACAAAAACAAAAGTGCCACTTTATCTGATAAAATATATTTATTTGTCTCTAGGCAGTATGCTATTGTATTTACCTTTTGCAGCAAAGTTATGGCCAGAGTGAACAGGCAAAAGTTATGTTTATCATGTCAAAAGTCACAAATGGAGAACTCATAATATATACAGTAGGTTTGTCTGGGGGGAACACATAATAGTAGCAAGATGATGGAGGATTGAGGGAAAGTGAATTCTTATTAATCAGTACGAAAACTTGGGTCCACTTAGACTATTTATGTTTCCCAACAATCTCATGTGTACCTCTAAGTTGAGAACCACTCCCCTAAGCCATCAAGCCCACCACTGTTACTGTGTCTGGGCTGATGAGTTATGATCTAATTCAAGAGAACAAGCATAGTTTACCAGAACTGGAACCATTCTTGGGGCTGGGATATCCAGTTCTGGATATCTATTTATTTTGAAAGAGGAAATATATCACAGCAGGCGTATAATGAATAACCAAAACTGCAAATCGAAATAGCATCTAAGATTTGGAAGTATGTGTTCCAAACACCACTGAGTGTTAATCAACATTTCCAAGCATTTCCCCAAAATTTACTGTTGCTGTTCTGAAAGGCCATGCTTGTTTACACCTCAGTTTGAGATGGATATTTGTACTTGCACATTCCATGTCTATAGTTCTCTCTCTGTCTCTGTCTCTCTGTGTGCATGCATGCATGCATGTGCTGTAATTAGGAATATAATCTGTAGCCACATCATGCAGTGACACATCACATCACTGGAATGAATACATGAGAGTCCTCCTAGGTGTCAAGTTATCCTTGCTTTGACAACACATACTGATCATGATCATTATGATCCATACTTCTCAGAATAGACATACTAGCTTCACATGGAAAGTAAACTATAGAACAGTTGATGGAAGATACAGCTGCTGTTGGATACAGGGTGCGGGTGATATTACCTACATGGCCGGCTTGTGAGCTTCCCAAAGATTTAGATGCCTCCATAAGAATAGAATGTGATACTATACAAATCTTTGGACTGTTCCAGCAATACTCGTCTTAGATGTGGTTAAGGCTGGGTTGGATGTAGCAGGTGTATGTCATAATATGAGTTGTTCTGCCAGACCTGATTTTGAGACAATTCTTTGTCAATATGGAAGCTGTAGGCTATCTCCCTCTTGTGGTTGATTCGAAGCACTGACTTCTCTTCCTCCTGTGAGTCACGATATGTAGTTAAGTACATCGAAATGTCAGAACTTTGATTGGAGCGGGAAACAAGTAGTGCTTAATGAATCATCAAAGAATGGGCCGGGGGTATGACACACACCGAGGAGTAATGCAGCATTGAGCGATTTACTGCGGGATTGTGTTTGGTTTGCTGCTGTCTGCCTTTGTGCCTACAGAGGTTTATGACAAAATGCTTTGTAATTGGAACTAACCAGTGTAACGATTGATTTTCCCATTTCTCTCTTCTGTTTCCTAATTGAGGGCAAAAAGTATCTGTTGTGTAAACTGGGCTGAGCCAGATGTTTTCAAATCTGTTTTATCTTCTTGATCAGTCACTCCTGGCCCTAGTTCTTTTCCATTTTCCCTTAAAACTGTTGTATACTATTGTTCTGAAGGCAATGATGCATGGCGACCTTTAACTTCAAATGAGATCCATGCAGCCACATTTTGAATTTCTAGAACCTGGACTTGTAATGGGAAATGTCAAAATCCTCCCTGCAGGGAGGGTGACCATCCATGCTTTAATTAATACAGTGTTTTCCTGTGATGTTTATCTTGAGTAGCCAGTCACATTTTTTCAGTTTGCAATGAAGGCTAGCCTAGTTCAGATCATCTCTCTATTGTTGGTGTGTGTGTGTGTATGCGTGTAAATTGCATCAGAAAAATTGAGGGAGGGCTTATTCACAGCATTCGCTCAAACTAACAAATAGTTCCTTGAGTTATTGATGGAACCAGCCGTCTCTCCTGGCCTTTCCTTATTTGAATTCATTTTAAAATATGTCTCTCTTGTGTTTGTCTGTGTGTAACAAATATTTTCTCATGACTTAAATATGTATCTTTAAAAAGGAAAAAATATATATATCATTTCACACTGCTGTGGGAAGGACAGTTGATAAACTCTTTCACTGCTATGCTGCTGCTGAAGAATGAATGGACACAACATTCTGCACAGTTTTGTCAGCCATGAGGCCAGATGTAATTTTGACTCCTGCTGTGGATAGGATTTGTTATGTGGTCCCAACATGGCTGGATTTTGCCTTCAAGCTTTCTGCCCTGCAAAAAGAAGAACTAAGCAGATGCAAAATAGCACAAAGTAGCCATACCACACTGAAGCCTTGTGGGGTAGCGGTCTCCTAAGCTTTGCAGGCTTTGAGAGCAAATAGCAGGAGTTTAAGTATTTCATAATATTTATGTCTTCTAGTGTAGTTAATGCTACAGTGAACTACTGCACACTGTTGTAGTGCTCACTGGAAGGACAGATCCTGAAGCTGAGGCTTCCAATACTTTGGCCATCACATGAGAAGAGAAGACTCCCTGGAAAAGACCCTGATGTTGGGAAAGTGTGAAGGCAAGAGGAGAAGGGGACAACAGAGGACGAGATGGTTGGACAGGGTCATCGAAGCGACCAACATGAATCTGACCCAACTCCAGGAGGCAGTGGAAGACAGGAGGGCCTGGTGTGCTCTGGTCCATGGGGTCACAAAGAGTCAGACATGACTAAACGATTAAACAACAACAAAAAGTGTAGTTAGTAAACTGGAGTTTCCACAGTTACTGGCAGACAGCAATATTGAGAGAATTTCTTTCTATTTACTGAAGTGGGAATGTAATGAGAAAACATTCCCTTTTCAGACATTCTGTATTATCCTTCCTGCCCATGCTGTAATTATTATTTCTATTATTTTAATTTTATTTATACTGTTAAGAGGAGCAAATTCATATATTTGAGGGAAAGTGGGTAAGGCTGCCATAATGTCTGGGTGAGAACTATGCTGAGTATTTATATTCTTCTCTTCCTGCTACAAACATTTCATCTGTGCATCCTGAGGAGGAAAAATTAGTGTGTGAGTTCTCTCAGAAACGTAGAAGCCAGTGTTTCCATCCCACATGATGTAGGAAGAATTTTTCGTGTTCCTGAACTTTGAACAAAGTTTAACATGGAAGAATATGAGCTGACGCACCTGAAGGGATTTCTGCACACCGGCCCCTGCTGTTTTTGCCATGTGCCCATATCACAGACACTACATCTAGCTTTGCAACCATCCGTAGAGAAAAAGAACTATTTACAAGGCATATTCAGACTATATACAGAAAAGTGCAAAGCCACAGAGAAGTAAATGAAAAAAGAAATCTGAATGGCTGTGATCAAAATTATTTTTTCTTGTCTATCTTCACAGTCCTGAGAGTACCATAAAAACCAAGATTAGTTGGCTGCTTACCCAAGAATCTCTCTCTTTTCCCCCCTGTCTCGCTCTTGTACTGTCGATGAAGTATTGATACTCCAGGACCGCAGATCTAGCCCTGTTCTGATTCATACCTTTCATTCCTTTCATTGGCTTCTTGCAAGCCCATAAAGAGGCAGGTGGG